TGGTTTTCCAGTCTCTTTTTGACAAAGAAATCAGTGTCCAACAAAACTGCTCATTCCATTTCTGAATCTAATTGCTAGCTTTTACTGAGCTAAAAATCTCAGGAAAATCTACTTCCCTGGAACTTTAATCCCTTGGGCTTAGATATCAAGTTTAGGACAGACTAAAAGGGATAATTAGGGCTTCCATAAGGCTTGCCTCAACCATAATTAGAGAGAGAAATTCATTTGTTTATTCAACAAATATTTGAGCTTCTTTTATATGCTGAGACTATGTGGTAGGTGCTATATAAACAGTTGTGAACCAAACAGAAATGACCCTGCCTTCATGGAATTAAATAATATATTTGAGAAGATATATAATAATTAAATAACTGATTTCAAAATACAGTATGTGCTGTAAAGTTACATGAAGAACAGGAAAGCATAGATATGCGTGCTAGAAAAGGCATGTCTGAAAAAGTGACATTTAACCCTAGACCTAGAAGATAAAATGCAGAAAACATTTTTAAAATATTTGCAGCATCAGCCTGTATTGATTTGGCATTCAGGTATTAGTAGATACCATATTAATTTAGTGGAACAAGGGACATTTACAGACCCAGAACCTGGAGGCACTGTAATTTCCAAGCTGTCAGGAATTATACCTCCCATGATTTTTGAGGGACCTGATAGAATTGTAATGTTAACATGACAGAGCTTAACAAAATAATAGTGATGGAAAGACTGCTGAGTTAGAGAAACCCCAGGTTGTGGACCCAGCATTACCATAAATTCAGTTGTAGAGCATTAGGCAAGTAAAATAATCTATGTGGCCTCCAGTTTTTGCATCTACAGTACTATCACATTTTGAAGAAGGTAAGCTCTGTGGATCCTTTTATCTCTTAATCTTCTGTGAACCTGTGCTGGACTTGGTCACTAATGATTGATTTAGAGTCTAACCTTTAGGCAATATGTAGTCCCCTGTTTTAGTACATATTAGGTCTCCAAAATGTGTAACTAAGTCACATCGCTGAAAGTTGAACAATAGACTTAAATGTGTTCCTATACTGTATATGTGGAAGGAGGAAAGGTCCTTCTCAAGGCATCTTGCCTTTTTGATAGCATTTTCACCAGTGTATTTCCGAAACTTTATACATTATTTTCCTTGATAGTTTATCACACAATGAATATCTGGTTGAAGCCAAATACTTTGCCACCTATAGCAAGCCTAATAATTTGTCTTTGGCGCAATAGTTCTATTTTGCCAATAATTGAACAGAAACAAAAATTCATGTCAGACAAAGATGATGAAAATGCCAAAACTGAACTGTTGCTTGCAGGCAGCATCAGCAGGAAAATACTCAAAATGTTTACTCATCAGCTGAGAGATGAATATCTAAATTATACGTTGCAAGCAGTGTTGTATAAGTCAATGTATAATGACTAAAAATATGGATTCAATAGTTGAGTACTGTCTAAACTGTAATATCTTTTAGTGCTCAGTTTCTGAGTTAAAAGGTGATAAAAGGGTTAGTTTTTCACTTGAGTAACCAGTTTCCAATGAGGAAAAAAGTCAGATTATGTTTTCCCATGATTTACAAATGTCACCCGAAAATAACAACCCCAGCAGCCCAAGTAGAAGTATGTTCTGAAACTTAGAAATGTTTTTTCCATTATTTATTCTCATTTCAAATTTTGAGATAGGTTGAGAAAAATAGTTGCTTTCCATCTGGCTGTCCTTTTGCCTGGGGAAAGTTGTGCTGTCATGTTTTTAGGTCTGACAAGAACTTAATTGTGTGAGTGATCCATTCCAGATCTAAACATAACTCTCCAACCCTTTAACCCAACCCAGAGACTCTTTAACTGTCACAGAGTAGCAAAAGAACTGTTTGACCTTTTGTTCTTGTCAGACTGGATCTGCCAGAAGCCTCCCTCTACAATGTTATATATTCATATTCTCTATAAATTGAATGTAGACATTGAAGCATGACTGAACAGGCATTGAAGATGCACTTGGTGAGGTGGATTAACTCTACCCATCTTTAAATCCCTTGCTTCAGATAATTATAGATGAGAGATGCTTATTTGGATTGTATTGCTATTTATTCTTACGTTTATTTTAGTAAGTGGTGAGGCAAGAACATAAAAATGTACAGTTGAAAGACAGATTGGCCTGGGTTGATTGATAAGTAATGTGTGGGATGTTTTGGCTTCTGATTAATATTTGTATTCAGTCTGCAATCTAAAGTATGTATAATTAAAAGAAACAGGTGAGAGTAATGTCTGATTATAATTTCTTCCCAGTTAATCTTCAGAATTAAAAAATAGTAAAAGCATTAAGAAAAGGGCAGAAAGCGGGCCAGGTACAGTTGCTCACGCCTGTAATCTCAGCACTTTGGGAGGCCAAGACAGGCAGATCACCTTAGGTCAGGAGTTCGAGACCAGCCTGACTGACACGGTGAAACCCCGTCTCTACTAAAAATAGAAAAATTAGCCAGGTGTGGCAGGCTCCTGTAATCCCAGCTCCTTGGGAGGTTGAGGCAGGAGAATCGCTGGAACCTGGGCGGAGGTTTCAGTGAGCCGAGATCGCGCCATTGCACTCCAGCCAGGGCAGCAGAGCGAGACTCCATCTCAAAAAAAAAAAAAAAAAGGGCAGAAAGGAACCTTAATCACTGTATTGAAGTGATTTAGTAGGACTTTCGTAAGAAAGCATCATTTTAGGTCATGGTCAGCATCCCTCCCTGAACTTGGACATTCTGCTGTTGCCAGGATCCCTACATTGGCCTGTGATCAACTAAGGCTCCAGTTAGCTATTGTGCAGTTTGGACCCGGCATTACCGTAAATGGAGTCCAGTGAATTTCTAGCCATTATCAGCACACTGGATAGTTTCCAGGCGACCTTTATAAAGAAGCCACTGGGGGCCGGGCGCGGTGGCTCACGCCTGTAATCCCAGCACTTTGGGAGGCCGAGGCGGGCGGATCACAAGGTCAGGAGATCGAGACCACGGTGAAACCCCGTCTCTACTAAAAATACAAAAAATTAGCCGGGCGCGGTTGTGGGCGCCTGTAGTCCCAGCTACTCGGGAGGCTGAGGCAGGAGAATGGCGTGAACCCGGGAGGCGGAGCTTGCAGTCAGCCGAGATCGCGCCACTGCACTCCAGCCTGGGCAACAGAGCGAGACTCTGTCTCAAAAAAAAAAAAAAAAAAAAAAAGAAGCCACTGGGAGTTTAGGTGGTTTTTAAACTGTCATTCAGGCAACTGGTCATTGAATTAACATAACTCATGACTTCAGAAATTTTCTGCTATACCTTTACTGTTCATAATTGTTACTAATAACATGACTATTATTTGGGCATTGCTTTACAGTTCATAAACATGTTTCATGTATCTTCTTAGTTATCAAGACAATACATTGTGGACCTTGTTCCTTTGTATCTTACTGGGCATGAAATTTATTTGGTTTGTTATAAAAATGCAAAGTTCCTTTTGGGAGGCTGAGGCGGGCGGATCAGGAGATCAAGACCATCCTGGCTAACACGGTGAAACCCCGTTTCTACAAAAAATACAAAAAAAAAATTAGCCAGGCGTGGTGGTGGGCGCCTGGAGTCCCAGCTACTCAGGAGGCTGAGGCAGGAGAATGACATGAACCCAGGAGGCGGAGCTTGGGGTGAGCCGAGATCGCACCACTGCACTCCAGCCTGGGTGACAGAGCAAGACTCTATCTCAAAAACAAAACAAACAAAAAAAGTTCCTAATACTGAGAGAAAGACTACAAATAAAATTCACTGCCCTCAGCTTCTAGAGAAACCAAAAAACAAAACCTTCTAATAACCAAAGAATCTTGCGTCTTAAGCCCCAGAGTTTACTGAATTTGTCGCAAAATACACACCTTGACCTTGTTCTATCCAGGGAGAAGGAACAGAAGAATGAAGGAAGATGATACTTGATCTCAAATACATTCGAGTAAAGAGAAACACTGAAAAGGGATAAAGGATCCTAGACCCAGCAATGTACTTAAGCTCATTTTGCCTCAAATTTTTAATCAGTTTATACTCACATTTGCCACCTTCCTTTCAGGATCATCCTAGAATTGTGGATAGAAAGATAGATGAAAGAAACTTTGATAGGAATTATTAATATCTTCCTCGAAGGCACAGACCTTTGATTTTTCAAGGTAATAATCTGAAAATAGAAACTTGATGGGCCCGTGTAACAAAGGTTTTTTTTCTGCAACTAGTGCCCACGTACACAGGTGCAACTGTATGTTGCCGAACCTGAGCCATCTACAACTGTGATTCTTTGACTCATAACTTTCTCTACACACTAGCTCAACAAGAATTGCTGGTTTGCCATTTTCCTAGGAACCTAGTTTTGAAAATCTCTCCTTAAAGAAGATAATCCTTCCCCTGTCTATGATATATGAACTATTCCCCTCTGTATTTCTCCTGATTCCTAGTAATTTATCTACTGTAGCTTCACTGAGTAGGAACTCAATAGAGATATTTTATTTGGTTTTTTGTTTTTTTAATTTTTTTTGAGACAGGGTCTCAGTCTCTTGCCCAGGCTAGAGTGCAATGGCGTGATCACAGCTCACCGCAGCCTCAGCCTCCCAGGCTCAAGTGATCCTCCTGCCTCAGCCTCCCATGTAGCTGGGACCACAGGCACAAGCCACCACACCCAGCTAATTTTTGTACTTTTTGTAGAGACAGGGTTTTGCCATGTTGCCCAGACTGGTCTTGAACTGGGCTCAAGCAATCCTCCCACTTTGGCCTCTGAAAGGGCAGGGATTACAGGCATGAGCCACTATGCCTAGCCTTATTTTTTGGAGACAGGGTCTTGCTTTGTCCCTCAGGCTTAAGTGCAGTGATGGCTCAATGCACCCTTGACCTCCTGGGCTCAAGCAGTCCTCAGCCTCCCAGGTAGCTGGGATCACAGGTATGCACCACCGCACCTGCTAACTTTTTATAGAGACAGGGTCTCACTTTGTTGCCCAGGCTGGTCTTAAACTCATGGGCTCAAGTAGTCCGCTTGCCTTGGCCTCCCAAAGTGCTGGGATTACAGGTTTGAGCCACTACACCCAGCCAAAAAGTTTTTCTCTCCTCAGAGAGCTCTGCTTGTTAGAAACTTCTACCTGAGAATAAGGAAACCTGTCTCTCTGTATCATGCAAATGGAATAAAATAGAAACACAACTCTTGTTTTCCAGTACAGAAACTCTAGCTGCTCGGGTGGACTGTCTATCCTTCCCTGAAGTGCTGCACCCCTCTGTGTTGTTCATCAGGCCATGTGTCCTTATAATGGGCCTTTCTATTGGTAGATAAAAACTTCCCTCCCCTGTTCACGCAGCTGCTACCCAAGTATCCTGTGTGTGACACCAATCTTAATAGTAGAAGAACTTTCAAGTCTCCACTGCCTCCTTCCTATCTGCCTTACAGCCTGTGGTAGTTGCTGAAGAACTTTAATTACAGTGTCAGTGTTCAGGGACAGTCCCAACTCTCTTCATGTGAGGATTGCAGAAATGGGCTTGGATCATATACAGACAGCGTCATGAGGCATTACTGAAGAACAGTAAGTTCTGTCACAGAAGATGTCAACTAATATAGGCATTTTCTTTGCCATACCCCAAGAGCAGGAGCTGATTCCTGTACAGGTAGGATATAGCTGGCCAGTAATCTCTTTAAATGTAATTTCTGTCTGCCACATTTTAAATTACAGGTTTTTGCATCAGGAAACTGTTGGGTCAGATTATTTGGTGCCTTGGAAAGGGCATTAGATGCATAGTGAAAAGACCTTGGTTTAATCTGACATTCCACCCGCTAGCTGTAGAAGCTTGAGCAAGTTAATTAATCTCTGAGTCTGTATACCCATCTGCAAAATGAGGATAATGCTTATCTTATAGAGTGTTGTGAAAGCGATGAAGATTGTGTGAAAGGGTTTCATAAACTGACAAGCACTGCACAAATGTAAGGTCTCCTAAGGAAAACCTCTTCAAAATTCAAAATCTATATGAACAAAGATACTTACTCATGTTAGGTGGAATGTTTTACAGCTATTAAAAATCAAAAGAAAATGTATTGAAAAAATACAATTTAACATGGTGAATTTGCAATTACAACAGTGTAAAAGCTGTGTACATAGACTAGAATATGGAAAAAAATGAATTACAGGGCAGTGGAATTGAGTGACTTTTTCTTTAAAGCCTCTTAGGTATATTAGGTGTACTCAGTTTAGTTCAATAAACTTTTATTGAGCTCTCACTCTCCCAAGCCCCGTGCTAGATTCTATGGGTGCTGAGACAAATAGGACATACTCCCTCATCTCAGGGGCTCCCATTCTGTACAGTCTTGTCAAAGTTTACTGTGTAAATGAATCACTGGGGAGCATATTAAAAATTCACATTATCCTACTCCCACCAGAAACTACCACACCTCTCAACTTTTATCTCTTTTCCTCACTCCATTTCTCCCCAGCACTTCTCCTATGTTTGCTTCTTTCTATGCAAGTGTTAATCTCCCACTCTGGTTCTTTCTATGCCTAGTACTGTATCAACATCCAGGTGCTTCCCCTTCCTTTCTCCACCCCATCCCCCAGCCAGATATGTCAATTGTATTGAAAACAACAACTTACATCTAGTTTACTAAGTACAAACTTGTGCTGGTTAATGTTTCTCAAAAAGTAGGAGTGGGCTGTTTGTTGATCAACAATCTTTTTTTTTAATCCGATATGGAAATTTTGGTGTCAAGTTTCACTATCACTTAGTTCCTGATTGATTTTCTTCTGATGGGTTAGTAGCCCTCGACAGAAAAGTTTAAAAGTCCTCTGCTCAGGTATCTGTCTTGCTCATAGAGCTGGGGTTACCCTGCACCCTGACTCAACATTGCTTGTCTCCACATGCCTGTAAATGGACTTGGGTGGCTTTCTCAGGCTATACACCTGTCACTTCTTAGTCACCCAGAATCAAAACATTAACAGCTCTGATCACATTGAACCTATGAGGCTTTATTTCAAGAGTGGTGACACTCCAAAATGCAGCTAGAATTTCCGCATTTTCACGTGTTAGTGTTGAAATTATTTTTCAGGAAACCAAGGGTTGGACAATGGCTTCCAGACTTTCTCCTTTCGTTATGCTCCTTCAGCACTTTATGCAAATACTGGTTGTCTTATGCTGCCATTCGTCTCTGCCAGAATGTGAGCTCCACGACAGCAGGGATAAGAATGCATTCATTTTTGTATCTGCAGTGCAAATACAAATTTGTATCATTTTGTATTGGAGAGTGTCTGACACATACTGGGCACTCATTGAAAAACTGCCAAATGAATCATAAAGGTGACCAAAAACAGGGCGGGGGGGTATTTATGTGTCTGAAATAGCTTATGAATTTTTAAACTATCCCTTTCAGTACAAATCTGCCTGGAGCTGTTTCCTGAACACAGGACCAAAAGGCAGGAATCAAAAGTAATAATGAGTTTAGTTATCTGTCTGTTACTGAAGGTGACTTCTAGGGCATCCTCCTGGCATTGCTTCTGGAATACAGTGACTTAGACTTCTTCTGAAGAACATCTCTATGCTGTTCATCATATCGCCAGCACCTAGCCCTGTGCCTGTGCATAGCAAATGCTCAGTAAGTATTGTTGAATGAATGTATTAAATTGAGAAGAAATTCAGAAACTAGTCCCAAACGAACTTAGTTGCTCAGATTTTCAGTTAGTGGTTTTCCCCACCTTGCTCTCTTAATCTAGACAATTTTACTGCCTCCAAATTGAAGGTAGCTATTATTTGTCATCTAATTTAACAAATGTTAACGTCTGTTCTGTGCCTATGTATGGGGTACCCAAAATTAAACCTAATCTCATACAGTTTCAGTCCCCATACAGTTGGTTCATAATTCTCAGTGCTCCCACGGTCCTTTGAACATACCTCTTACAACATTGCCCAAATACTACTGGAGATATCTGCCTATTTCTCTCCCCAGAAAGACCCTGAAATTCTGAAGAACCTAGTCTTATCTTGGTATTCCTATGCTGAACTTGAAGCAGTAGGTTCTCAAGAAAATCCCTACTGATATTTGACTAACATAGACACAAATAACCATTCCCTAGTAACATGTATTTGAATAGAAATATATTTTGTATTTGAATAGAAAGAAACATATGCTTTTCTAAGTATATTCCTAATTTAAAGGGATACTAAGAAACAAGATTGGTTTTTGTGTCTATTAAACATCTTCCAAGGTGTCTACTTAGTTATTAAACCTGTCCTTTTTCTGACAATTCCCCTACCCCTGTCCTGGCCAGTGGGTCCCTAGCAGACATCCTGGGGGCCAGAGCTTCCTTTGCTGATTGGTCTAGGAGTGGACACCTGATCGCAAATAGACCAGTTTCATTTTCTCTTGAGAAATTGGGGTTGAGGACACTAGAGAGTCTGGACTGGTTGCTTGAGCCAGGAACATATAAACTTAGGAGCCGGTGGGTAACCATGTACCCAGAGAGACAGAGAAAGCAGTCTTCAAAGAGAAAGAAATGAAGGCACAATGTTCAGAGATGAGGGAGACATACAAAATGGATGCCTGGTTTTTGCCATGTTTATTCCCTGGCTGCTACTCTTTCTGAGGCCAGATTATTCAACTTTTCCATGGGTTCCATGGGAGATAACTCACTTTCTTATCATCTCTATTTGATCTTGAGTGAGTTTGAAATGGGTATCTGCTTTGACAACTAAAAGAAGTCAAATTAATATACTGTGTGACTTACAGAAGGAATTCTCATTACTTTTGAAGTCTCATTACCTTATAATCACATCTACATATCCCAGAATATATGTCAATCAGGAATTACTTAGATGGGGAATTCCTGATAAAGTAAGATGCAGTAGGAGGGTAAGTGGCTTCTTTGCTTTTCAAATTTCTTAATAGTCTAAGTCACAAAAACAGAAAGCAAATAAATGGAGGCTTATTTACAGAGGGGATTGGACATGTCAGACCTTTTTTGGAACTACACAGTTGGATTTAAAAGATTTTGAAGAACCAACACATTTGGCAGTTTCCCAAACCATCTATTTTTGAAGATTCTGCTTTCCAGAACTGTATTAAGAATGGCCCTTGTCATGGGCTTTAGCTGTGTTTCCGACTAGCCAAAACTAAAAACTGAAAGAGACTAAATAAGTATGTGTGCATGTAGAGCAGCCCAGGCCCTGCAAGTGGACTGACCATAAACAATGATGGTCAAATCTATGAAAATAAGATAAAGATCTCGCTCTTCAGAAATAGTGCTAGATGTGTTCAGTGCTTTGTATACCACACTCTTTCAGCCCTGGTATGCCATACCGTGAATTTAGTGTTCACTTAAAATAATCATTTTGAAAACATGCGTGGAAAATACAGAGGAACTGTGAACTGCTAAAATCATTATCTGGTTCAGGAAAGTTTCAGAGGAAAATCTTGGGGCTTTTTCCTAGAATGTTATGAAAATACTAAGTTATACTGATTGCTGCCAACATATTTTCTAACTGTTCTAGGAAAAGAAAAAACAACAGTTTCCAGCTCTTACTCTTGGTTGACACTGGACCTTGGAGATGCTTGCAGGTAATTGGACTGCATCTACTTTCCTTTTTTGGTTTCCAGCTCTTACTCTTGGTTGACACTGGACCTTGGAGATGCTTGCAGGTAATTTGACTGCATCTACTTTCCTTTTTTGGTTAATTGTGTTAAATGTGCCTCATAACTTCTATTCCCAGTGAGGCTGTCATTTAGAAGGGGTGGGTGGGGGCTGAGGGGAAGCTGTTTTAATTCTGGCTTTTGTTTCAGTCACTAAATGTAATGCCACATGATTGTTGACCCAACAATAATCCAGTTAAAAAACAGTCTTCAGAGTTACTACATCATCAGAATTAACCCTGATTACATCAAATTATGTTGAAACAGACCACAGCTGTTTGCCCTGTTGAAGCAACTGCTTGAGAGCTCCTCCGGAAGATACATCTGGGTGTCACTAAGATACATTTTGGGTTTAATTTTGTTTCTCAACACAAATGTAGGAGGGAAACAAACCCTGTTCTGCTGGGGTGCTTGGTGGGAGCTGAAAACCTTGTGATTCTCCCGCAGTCAAAAGTCATCTCAATTACCAAAGAGAAGGGAACCTGAGATCTTTTGTTTCAGTTTTCTATAGGAAGGATGTAAGAGGGAGGAAATTCAAATCTGTTGAGTATTGCTCTTGCCAGCAAAAAGAAGTGGAACTGACTAGTGAGAAGGTGGTGGGATTTTCTTTGGTGGCTGTATGCAGTGGTGTCAACCCAGGAGAGTAGACTGTTCAATTGTGAAGAATTTTGCAAGACGGTTCTTAAAATATAATATCGTTAAAATTAAGTTGTAATAAAAAAATGGGAAATAAGCATTGGAAAAGATGTGGACAGATTGGAACCCACATACATTGCTGATGGGAATGTAAAATGGTGTAGCCACTGTGGAAAAAATTCAGCAGTTCCTTAAAAAGTTAAACAGTGTCACCATATGACTCAGCATTTTCACTCCTAGATAGATACCTAGATTGAAAACATATGTCCACATAAAAACTTGTACAGGAATGATCGCAACAGCATTATTCATAATAGCCAAAAAGCGGAAACAACGATAATGTTCATCAGTTGATGAATGGATAAAATGCGGCGTATAAAGAACTGTTAAGTGCTTCAACATGGATGAACCTTGAAAACATTATACAAAGCCAAAGAAGTTAGACACACGAGGTCACATATTGTATGAATATGGTTATTTGAAATGTCTAGAATTGGCAAATCCGTAGAGATGAAAAGTAGGTTAGCGGTTGCCAGAGGATGGGATTAGAGGAATGGGGAGTTAATGCTAACGGATATGGTGTTTCTTTTGGGGTAATGAAAATGTTCTGGAATTAGATAGCTGTGATGGTTGTCAAAGTTGATGAATATATTAGAAACCATGAATTATAAACTTTAACATGGTGATTTTTGTGATATGTGAATATCTTAATTAAAAAATTAAGTTATATAAACTTACAATTAAATAAGTTATATTTAAAAGAAAGGTAGTAACTACCCCAAACCCATCACTTGGCTAATTACTTTACATTTTACTATCATGTTCTTGGTATTATTTATGTCTATTGTGTCTTTATGTTGGAAATACTAAATAATGGTGTATTACTGTGTATCTCTTAACTCTGTATGCGAGGACATTCACTTGATAGCTTAAAACTGGCCATGGCTGGCAGAGTATTTATGCCACAACAGTTGGTATATACTGTAAATCAAGGCACCCACCAACACCACCAGGGAGCCAATTTAAAAATATTTGCCAGCACATCACTGGCTGTATTGTTGGACAGTCATCTTGAGTAATTCTGGTAGAATTACATAGTTAGATGAGATGAAATCCTGAGGCCTCTAGGTCTCCAACAAAACAAAGACTAGCAAGCCTGCACAGTTACTATGCAATTCATCAGGTGCAGAAGGAAATGACATTTCTGGTCATCTGTTGAATAAAGTCACTTTGAATTCAGGGGACATGGTTTTCTCCAGTTTCACTAGTGTTGCATCTGGTACAAGGGGTTGAGTGCTAAGCCCCTGCAGGATTGTCACAGTGAAGCCAGATAACAGAGTAACCACAAAGAGATTTAATTCTGTAATCCCACAAAGGAGGACGTCTAAAGAGTGTACAACAGTGTCAGAGTTTGGAAACCAAGGGTTGACAAAGTTGGCTCTCTGGAATCTGGGGGTAGCAGTTAAAAGGTTAAAGGAGTCATTGTTTTTTGAAACTATCCAAGAGTTACAGCCATCTTTTTTTTTTTTTTTTTTTTTTTTTTTAAGAATTCGGGGAATCTTATTTTCTTACATGTTTCTGGAATTTTTCATTTTTAAAAAAATGTATTTTTAAGTTCCAGGGTACATGTGCAGGATGTGCAGGTTTGTTATATACGTAAATGTGTGCTATGGTGGTGTGCTGTACCTATCAACCCATGATCGAGGTATGAAGCTCAGCAAGCATTAGCTATTTTTCCTAATGCTCTCCCTCCCTCTCCCAACCCCCCCCCCAACCACCCCACACAGGTCCCAGTGTGTGTTTCTGTCCCTGTGTCCTTGTGTTCTCATTGTTCAGCTCCCACTTACAAGTGAGAACATGCAGTGTTTGGTTTTCTGTTCCTGTGTTAGTTTGATGAGGATAATGCCTTCCAGCTCCATCCATGTCCCTGCAAAGGACATGATCTCGTTCCTTTTTATGGCAAGTTACAACCATTTTTAAAAGTGGAACTGCACAGGATTACCTCAACCTACTATGTTCTTCCAGCTAGGCCGTCCCTGTGGGTTTAAACACAATGTAAAGAAAGTGGATGTTAAGTGTTCTTACCACAAAAATGATAACTATATTAGGTAATACATTTGTTAGTTAGCTAGATTTAACTATCACACCGAGTATTTTATGTATTTGTATTTATATTTCAAAACATCATGTTGTACACAATAAATACATACGATGTTACCTGACAATTTTTATTAAAAAAAACTACTCCAGCTGCTTACAGGTACCTTCACAAATACTATTCTCTGGATCAGAGAGCTCTAGATATTCCAATGGTCTACAGCCCCCACCTGTCATCCTTTAAGGGTTGTTTCCTTCGTTCTCACAATGAACATTTAATGAGTATCTATTCTATGCTGGTACCATGCTGGGAAGCTCTGGGAATACAAAAATGAGGAAGGGCCAGATGTGGTAGCTCATGCCTGTAATCCCAGCACTTTGGGACACCAAGGCAGGAAGATCACTTGAGCCCAGGAGTTCGAGACCACCCTGGGCAACATAGCAAGACATTTTCTCTAAAATAATAATAATAAAAAATAAGTGAGAAAAACACATTCATGTCTTCAAGGAACTCACAGTTCCTTGACAAGGAAATACTTGCAGTACAGTGTGATAATCCAGTTTATATAGGTGCAGTGTGGATATCAAGAAAAGAGTGAACAACTTTGCTGGGGAATGGGTACAGTCAGTTTTAGGGAAAGAGGTCTTGATGTATGTTCAAGATCGAATTCAAGGTAGGAGTTCTCTCTGCAGAGCAAATAAAAGGAGCCAGCACGCAGAGTGTGGTTTGGAAGACTACAGCACTTTCTCAAGGATCTTGACAGTCTTTGTTCTTAGTAGATTATGACGACTGATTTACCAGTGTCAGCAGCAAAGTCCTGGGAGCCGAACTGCCACAGAGCCATTACCACTGATTCTGGTTATTTTCAAAGGAGAAATTGGGAAAATGGGATTGCTTAAACTTTTCTCTAAGAAAGTTTTTTTTTTCTTTTCTTTTCTTTTTTTTTTTTTTTGAGATGGAGTCTCACTCTTGTCACCCAGGCTGGGGTGCAATGGTGCAATCTCAGCTCATTGCAACCTCCATCTCCCAGGTTCCAGCAATTCTGCCTCAGCCTTCCAAGCAGCTGGGATTACAGGTGTGTGCCACCACACTCCGCTAATTTTTGTATTTTTAATAGAGCTGGGGTTTCACTATGTTGGCCAGGGTGGTCTCAAACTCCTGACCTCAAGTGATTCACTGGCCTCAGTGTCCCAAAGTGTTGGGATTGCAGGCGTGAGCCACTACACCTGGCCAAAAGTTTATTTTCAAAATGTCTCCCACTGGGTATAGTGTCAAGTAACTCTCAGACTATTAGCCACAGACAGGGAGGAAACCCAATTAGGTCTTTAACCCCACCCCAATCCCACTTCTAGATCTCATCCTCAACCAGATGCCCAGAGTTGACTTGAGTAAGTTAGAGTAATTTGACACAGGGAACCATGTGGGCCTCAAGTAACTAGGGGTTAAAGAAGCACACACCTTAATATGCCTGAGAGATGAGTGTCCTGAAAGACACCAGCTGAGGTGGCTCAACTGGTCACACTGACCTTGGTAAGCAGCACTCAGTTCTGAAATTAACCTGTCAACTAAATTGAAGGGGAGAAAAAGCAGAAGGGCTAGCACACAAACATCCATCCCCACCCCCAGTCCAATCACTGACGTCAGGCCTGGCGTGGGTGGTATTAATCACACCAGCTTGGTGTGCAGTTGAGGACAGCTCTCCTTCCAGCCCTTCAACCCGTTTCTGGGAGCATTCCACCAGCCACGCACCTGCCACTGGCCACAAACCCTCAACTCCCAGACACGCACAGATGCAGTGATGGACGTTGCTGACAACACTCAAAGCCACAGTGCACCCTTTAGAACCCCAGGCTTTGTGGGGAGTGAGAGTAGCTAGGAGCGGGGACCAAAGTGGTACCCATGCTCTCCCAGTGTGCATTTCTCTAATCTCTGCAGTGCTCCCTCCTCATAAGATAGTCATTTCCTGAGAATTTAATGAGAATATAAGATTAATGACCCAAAGCACTCTTGGAGCCGGCCATTAACTCCCCCAGGAAATACCAGTGGTCTTTAAACAAAATTGCCTAAATTATGGGCTAGTGATGCATGTCCGCTCAGGGCTTGGGGGTGGGGGGATTGTCACCCCAACTGGTTCCGATAGATGGCGCCTATCTTCATGTAAATCATTCAAATGATTTGTTTTCCATTTTTTTCCCAGCAAAAACCAGGGAGCATTTAAGCAGACACACACAGCAGGGAGTGGAGAGGACTTAGTAAAGGCCCACACAGGAACCTTCTGTCCAAGGGCTGTTTCCAGGCCTGGCACGCCTCTCAGGCTCAAAAGACTGAGCCACTCCAGGGTGCAGCCAGGGACTTCAGCAGCAGTCTTGCTTCCTATGCAGTCCAAGATAGGCACTGGCAGCAAGAGGAACGCAGGATGGGAGTCCAGCTGAAGAGCACAGAGAAAAAGCCCCTTTCGGCCGGGCGCGGTGGCTCACGCCTGTAATCCCAGAACTTTCGGAGGCCGAGGCGGGCGGATCACGAAGTCAGGAGATCGAGACCATCCTGGCTAACATGGTGAAACCCCATCTCTACTAAAAAAAAAAAAAAAAAAAATACAAAACATTAGCTGGGCGTGGTGGCGGGCGCCTATAGTCCTAGGGAGGTTGAGGCAGGAGAATGGCTTGAACCCGAGCAGCAGAGCTGGCAGTGAGCCAAGATCACGCCACTGCACTCTAGCCCGCCTTTAACCTTTGGGGAAAGATGTTCAGAGAACCCTTCCCAAAGCTGATACGTGGTGACTATTGTATTCACATTTCAAGGTCCCTCCTGCCATTGGCCAAACAAGAAACATCAAACTTTTCCATTTCTACATGAAATTGTAAATAACACCATCTTTTCCTAAACAAACAAAATAAGACCTTAAAGAATTTCTGGCAGAATATTACCTAACCCCAACTAACTCTTGCTAAACAGCCTTCCAGTCTGTGTATTGAATCATATAACTATCAAAGGATATGTAAAAGACTACTCTTCTGGGGGAAGATAGGGCATACGTCTGCCTGACTTGCATCACAAACCTCAGCTGCAGCCAAACCATGCAGATTTCTTCGACTCTGCAATCCCTGGGACTTGGCACCATGACTCAGATGTGAATGAAGTCAGGATGGGTTTATTTTGGTGGGGAGTCACCGCCTCCTGATTGATTTGGCAGACGTTAAGTATTGTATGTCTTACAGGGATTTAAGGTACTTAAAGCCAGAAGTTAAAATGGCCATCATTCTGGTGGTGGCCCTTCATATGTGACTTAAGGATCCCCAAATTGGAAGGTTAAGGGAGCTGTGGTCCCAGCCTAACAGTTCTGGCTTTACTTCCCATCCAGCAGCACAGTGGATATTGAAGAAAGTCAGTGAAATGTTAGATCCAGGAGACTGACTGCTAAAACTCCTAGGGTATCTAGAAGAGCTAAGTACGTGATAGCGGATTCGCTTTTCCAAACTGAGGAGGGTGAACTTCCCCCAACCCAATCAAGATCTGTTGGACCAAATGATGTCCAACTGCTTGAAACATCTCAGCTGCACAGAGACAGAAATGAACAAAACAGCTTTAGTCTAAGGTTGTGTGGGGCAGTGCAAGATGCTGCTTCTCCAATTCATCTGTCCACACAGCACGGTTCCCCATTGAATAAACAGGATACTATCCACTTATCAGAGAAGTTAGGGAGGACCTGCCTTTTAGTGCTGCTTGGAGAGACACTGTCAATGAGCGGGGACGTTGGGGAATTTGGACCCCAATTTCTTGTTCTTCTACACTTGACCTTGCCTTCCAATTCACTATGAAATATATTTACTAGGTTTGCTTCTTCCATTCTACAAATCATGCGAGTTTTCTATACTAAACTGTTTTCCTAGAGGCAATGTAGGAGGGACTCAGCTGGACTTTGTTTCCAGGCAATGAGAGGCTCCCAGGTTGATCCCATTAAGGCAATGCCCTCATTTTGAATAGGGGATGACTGGGACCCCTCCTCCCCCACACACCTGAATTGGAAACTTGGCTAGGCTTTGTACAAGCCCTTGCCCTTAGGCAGTCCATAAAATGGGAACAATACTGAAGACAATCCTGTAAGCCAAGAGTGCAAAGGCTCCGGCGCGTAGTAGGTCCGTCTCCTCCTCCCGCCGAGGGGCGCCAGAGTTAAGGAACTTCTTACTGGGAAGGGGTCCCTCCTTTCAGCAGGAACCTGACCCGCAGAATGGATCGGAAACGCGAGCAACCCTCGGATCCCTTCCCCGTCGACGCTCGGTGAAAAATCGATCGACGACGGAGGGCGCGCAGTCCCTTCTCCGCACGCCCGCCAGCGCCAGGGGCGCGGCCGCCTCCCCGGCCTCCGCGCCCGCAGCTTGAGGCCTCAGGAGAAAGCGAGATTCCGGGGCTCGCCGGCGGCGGTGGCTTTCTGTGTCCTGGCGGATCCCCAGCCCCGCGTCCGCGTGCGCGGCGGCCTCGGGGGCGCGGCGGGAGCGGGCGTGGCGAGCGCGCCGGCCTTCCCGCTGCAACTGCCCCCGCGGCGGCCCGGCGGAGAGTGCGGATTGCGCGCGCTCGGGGCGGGGGAGCGGGCGCGCGCGAGGCCGCCGGGCGCGCGCCGCGCCGCCTAGTCCCCGCCGGGCCGCCCGCCCCGCCCCTGGCCTCCCGCGAGCTGCGCACCGCCGGCCGCTGCCCCAGCTGCCCGAGCCCGCGCCCTAGTCCGCGCGACCCAGCGGCGGGCTCCAGGCCGGCAGCATGAGCGGCGGCGGCGGCGACGTGGTGTGCACCGGCTGGCTGAGGAAATCGCCTCCCGAGAAGAAGTTGAGGCGCTATGTGAGTGCGGGCGCGGCCGCCGAGGGGCGGGCGGGCGGGGGGCGCTCCGGGGCCTGCGGAGGGGCCGGGGGCTCCCGGAGGGGCGGCAGGCTGGGGAGCTCGGGCCCGGAGCCGCGGGGGCCGGGGGCGAGGAGCGGCCAGGGTCGTGTGGGGTACCTGCACACCTGTCACAGGTGCGCCGCCGAGGGGCGGGGCGGGGCGGGCGGCAGGTTGAGGCTGCGGCTCCTGCTCCGCCAGGCGGGCGCGGCGTCGGCGCCTCCCCAGGCGGTCTGCCCGTAAACTAAATATAGTGTC